AAATCATTTATAATTTCTGCCCTAGCAAGGAGGAACCTAGATCTAAAAACATAATACATTCTCAAATCAAATACAGCATGGTAATTGTGTCCGGGGCTCTTGGAGTTGTAAGTAGCAGAAATCCAATCAAAACACCAGCAGAAGCAAAGAAGGGAATTCATTGGCTCACAGGAGCCTCCACCCAGGTCCGGTTCACCTGTCGTCAGGTGTCTGCCTTTTGCCTCTGTCTGTATCTCCACCTTCTGCTGTCTTGTATTTCTCTTTTTGGTTTTGGCTTTGGCTTTTTCTCCCTTTTTCTCCCTCTGGAGGGCAGGACAGTTCCTTGAAACATCTTTTTCTGGTCTGTGCGCCCTCCCTTGGCCTTCCGGGTCACAAAGCCACACCTCTGGAGAGAAGGGAGGCAGCGCGGGCAGTGGACGGTGGAAACACAAGTCACGTGGTTTGAGTGCGCAGGGAGCACGTCCCCGCAGAAGCGGTGGCAGTGGCAGAAGGGGGTGCAGCTCGGTGTAAAGAAGAAAACCGGAAGATCCCAGGTAGACGGAAACCACAGATGTCTGCTGGAGGCTTTGCCTCAAATAGAAGCAAAATTTGCATCTTTAAGATCAAAAGAATTGAGCAGTGGAGGAAGTGGGTTTGAGTCAAACAATAAGTACCGTACATTTAGGGCAGTGCAATTAAACGTTGGTCTGATAGCACCAAGATTCATAGTAGGTAATTATTTACGTGGATGGTCTTACCCCAGATGACTTATAAAAGGATTAAAGACTATTAAGTGGTTGATAAGGAATATCACTTCATATATTTAAATATGTATTTTTCCAGGAAAAGAAAACCTTTTCCCAGCTTTACTGAAATGCAGTTGACAAACACCATTGTGTAAATTTAAGGTGTAACCGTGATGTGATACGTGTACATATTGCAAAATGTTTACCACGATAACATTGGTGTAACACATCTGTCATCTTGCATAATTATGTGTGTTTATTTTTGAGGCGGTTTTAGCATGCCAGACTCTCTCCCCTGTGCCTGCTGAGACAGACTTTCAGCAGTAGTTCTCCTCAAGGAACGTGCCAGACCGGCGTGTCTTAAAGATTCCGTTCATTTCAATATTGACTTAACAGTAGTGCCTGGATGTTTAGGTGATAAGTAAGTGACATTTCAATTTTGTGGAAGAAAAACAAAAAAAAGAAAAGGAATTACAGATCATAGAGGGAAAGATAAGTTGATCTAAAATACCTACTGACAGAAAAATCTAGGCTATTAAAAATACCAAAAATATTTAGGTATTTCCTTTCCCTTCCCTCCCCTCCCTTCCCTGTCCTACCCCTCTCCGCCCCCTCTCCCCTCCCCTCTCCCCTTCTTACTTCTTACTTTTTACCGTGAAAGATAACACCAGTACAGAAACAACGTATTGCCCGATGGCATATCACCAACTGAGCACTCCTGAGAACCCAGAGGACCATCAGCCTATCAGCCGGTGCCCTCCGACCCCGCTTCTCCACCCCTTCAAAGGCATCCGAGATCCTGACTTGGATGTTAATCAATTCCTGGCTTTTCGTCTTAGCTTTACCACCTAAACTTGCATCCGCACAGCTTAGTTTTGCCTCTGTGTGTGTGTGTGTGTGTGTGTGTGTGTGTGTGTGTGTTTTGAGCTTTCTAAAAATGGAACCCTGCGGTATGTGCTCTTTTGGGTCTGACTTCCTTCACTCCGCATCGTGACTGTTGCCCGCAGCTCTTGTCAGGGGTGAACGCATAGCTTTTGGAGGACCAAATAACTCTGACTCGTGGCAGCCCAATGAAGTTACAGATTTTCGGTTATTAGTCGAGTCCTTTGAGAGACCCTCGAGTCACAAGGAGACAGTTGAAGTATTTACTCTTAAGAACTCCAGCAGGTGGTACCCTGCCTTCCCGAGGGGAACGATCACCATGCTGCTTTATGGCATCCCAGGAAGAAACCCTTGTCCTGGCCGCATTTCCAGGGATGCAACTCAAGGCTGTCAGCCAGCCCTGCCCAGGGGGGGCCTCTCTCAGAGGCAGGACTTAAAGTATTTGTGCTGGTGAGAGCGGGTTTGCTACGGTTGGCCTTAGGACTGAAGTAGATGTCTCTTTGATTGGATATTCGAACATCTGGTATTTTCTTTGCATGTTATCAAGAAGCCCCCGATGTGAAGTTTTATAAAGAGGAACATTATCACATAACACTGTGTCACCACATTCGAAGGTCCGATAGAGTGGTTTTCTGTGACAAAAGGAAAGCTTTGTTTCAAAGCGTGATACAGAAAGTATTAATGGGACGAGCTGCTCATCAAATGCCGAATTTTCACATCCATACACGCTTCTTGCTGATGTTACTAGATGCACAGTCTAGCTTTCTCTGATTTTGCTAACTTATCCTCACTGAATATTTCACTTGCTCTTTTCCAGATATCTCGGCGTATATGTTTACATTTTGTCTTTTACTTTTTCACACACCTTCAGACACATCGGTCCTCTCGATGGCGATGGAGGCAGTCACTGCTGCGAATTCTAGCCCTATTATTAGTTTCAGCCCGCCTGGGTTTTGGAAGGCAGTAAGGCTGAGTGGGAGGACCGCTGCACAGAGAACAGAACATACTCCTTTGGGATGGGCCTTTGGTCTGTGCGTGGCCACAGGGGACGCCTGACAAGGGGGAGCTGTCCAGGAAGCAGACTTGCCCGGTGCCGGGCCCCATTCTGTGAAGGTGGCGAGGACTGGGTGTAGTGACAGGGATAGAACATCTTCGTGGCCCTTGGCTCCCCTCCTGGAGATAGATGTCCATCCCACAGGAAACTAGGAAGCCAGCTTTGTAGAATTGTGGGCAAGATACAGTCCCATTTCGCGATCACATGGGCACATGCTTCAGGACCAGGAATGAAGAAAACATTGAGGGCACATGGAAAGAAAGGGCACAGAAGAGAGGATGTGTGTGTCTGTATATCCTTTTTTGTGCGTAAGAGTAGATATACAGAAATTGGCTTATGATGGCAGTTTTGAAATAAATACATGCATTCGTATACAATAAACTCTATTAAAAAAAAAAAAACCCGGGGCACCTGGGTGGCTCAGTGGGTTAAGCCCCCAACTTCAGCTTAGGTCATGATCTCATGGTTCATGAGTTCAAGCCCCACGTCGGGCTCTGTGCCGACAGCTCGGAGCCTGGAGCCTGCTTCGGATTCTTGGTCTCCGTCTCTCTCTGCCCCTCCCCCACTTGGGCTCTGTCTCTCTCTCTCTCTGTCCCTCAAAGATAAATAAACGTAAAAACTAAAAACTAAAAAAAAAAAAAAAACAAAAAAACCAAAAAAAACCCCCTACCTCCGTGTCTTGGGTGATACTAGAGATTCTGTTTATGGAGTGACTTCCTTTTCCCAACATTATGTCTCGTAACTGCCATCCGTTATGCCTTTTTGTATTATATGATATCAATTAACAAATTAGCTGAAGTCATAAAAAGGAAGATAATACATATTCACAAGCCAGCTGTTCATAATTCCAAATATTTCAAGTTGAGGCACCTGCTGCCTCTTCTCTGTTAAGCAGGATGACCCACAGCGAGGTTAATCCTCGAAGAGTTGTGCTGGGCTTTCTAGAGCTGCTGCGGCAGCCTTCTGCCACTGGGCTTGGAAGTGTGCTCAGAAATTCAAGTACATTTCGATATTTTCCCCAGCAAAACATAAGATCAGTCTCTTACCAAAACAGTCATACACGTCAAAGCCAAATACTGGTGATGTGGAGACGGCCCAGACTTCAGCCCCCTTTGTGACTGCTAATAATCGAGGACTGACTGGGCGCACGAAATCAAGCCTCAGCCTTCTGTCCAGAGCCAGTAACAGCACCCGAGGGCCGACGTTAGGCACTGTTGACTCTATTATGCTTTCTGTTCACTGCAGAGACAGAGTTTACATGAAATACTGGGCGAGTAGGGGAACTTTGAGGACTTCGTCCCCATAGCCATGCATGCACGATTCTTCTCACTTAGAGATGCAACTGTGCATGTATTGTTTACTTCTCTTTTAAATGTTTGCTTATTTTTTTAGCGATAGAGCAAGAGTGTGGGTGGGGGAGGGGCAGAGAGAGAGGGAGAGAGAGAATCCCAAGCAGGTTCTGTGCTGTCCGCGCAGAGCCCGACGTGGGTCTCGAACTCAAGAACCGTGAGATCATGGCCTGGGCTGAAATCAAGAGTCAGGTGCGTACCCACTGAGCCACCCAGCTGCCCTTCTGTTTACTTCTCTTTTTTGAGAGTTAGACTTGGCCTGGTTGTAATGCTTGTGTCACGTGTCATCTGCCCCATTCTTCCCGGAGTGAACTTATCCTTAAGGCTTTCCTTCTTTTGTGTGTATTCCTAAGCACTGCTGAGGGTATTTAGAAGACTGGCATTTACGGTATTGATGATCTGAATCGATCAGTCTGTACTGAATGGAATTTGATTGCAAATGTGTCTGTTTCTGATGCACGTCCTGTTCTGTTTTCAGAGGGCCCAGAAATGTTACGAGTTTCAGAGAGAGAATCTCTGTATGTAGTCAAAATCACGATGCTCTAGAATTTACTTAGACCAGTAGGAATCTGGATTCGTTCTTTCCTACCGTATCTGTGGACTGAGAAAGCTAAGCATGGAGACAACACTTTCCTGTCCTGGCGCAGAAATGTGTGAGGAGGTGAAGGGCTCTAACCTTTAAATCTATGGCTTCTCAGCCACTGGAGCTCTGAAAATTCCAGAAAGCCCTTTTCAGTGAACTCTTCACTATATTAGAATCTCTTTTTTTCCTTTGCAGACCCTGCATGTGGCCTTTTTAAATATGTGTTTGAGACAGAGTGAATGTAGAAGCTCAAAATGCCTGGACGATTTCTGATTTCTGTCCCTCCTTTTCCTGCCCTTTGGCCCCACTGCCTGATTCGGATGATGTGATATTCAGAGGGACACCTTAATCAAAGTCATCCTTCGGAGAGACACTTCTGGCCAAAGACCGTGTCCACACCATTCAGGATGGCCAGTCAGCCGCCGGAAGATGGGGCAGACTCTCAGGTCTCCGACGAGCTCGAGTGTAAGATCTGTTACAATCGGTACAACCTGAAGCAGAGGAAACCCAAAGTGCTGGAGTGTTGTCACAGGGTCTGTGCCAAATGCCTCTACAAGATCATAGACTTCGGGGACTCCCCGCAAGGCGTCATCGTCTGCCCTTTCTGCAGGTTTGAGACCTGCCTGCCGGATGATGAAGTCAGCAGCCTGCCGGATGACAACAACATCCTGATAAACTTGACTTGCGGAGGCAAAGGCAAGAAGTGCCTGCCAGAAAACCCTACTGAGCTGCTGCTGACCCCCAAGAGGCTGGCGTCTCTCGTCAGCCCTTCTCACGCTTCCTCCAACTGCCTGGTCATAACCATCATGGAGGTGCAGAGAGAGAGCTCCCCGTCTCTGAGCTCCACTCCTGTGGTCGAGTTCTACCGGCCTGCAAGTTTCGACTCTGTCACCACCGTGTCCCACAACTGGACCGTGTGGAACTGTACATCCCTGCTGTTTCAGACATCCATCCGGGTGCTGGTTTGGCTGCTGGGTTTGCTCTACTTCAGCTCCTTACCCCTAGGGATCTACTTACTCGTGTCTAAGAAAGTCACCCTCGGGGTCGTCTTTGTCAGCCTCGTCCCTTCGAGCCTTGTCATCCTCATGGTGTACGGTTTCTGCCAGTGCGTTTGTCACGAGTTTCTAGACTGTGTGGCCCCTTCTTCTTAACCGATGTGCAAACTAGGAAATTTGACACCCGTTTTCACCTTTGAAGTTAGGTCACTCATCATTTGTTTATTTTGTATTTCTCTGTGAGGAGCGTCTGTGACCTTAACGAAGCCGTTGGCCAAATGTTTGTGGTCTCTTTTTCCACCGAAGTCTGGACTCCGTCGGTTTTCCTGTATGCTGGACATAAACACGTTCATTTCTACTTAGGGGTTGGCAAAGATGCAGAAATGTAGGAGCTAAGCCTTCCTAGAGCTCTTCCGGGGAGTCTTCCCCCAGAAATGGCCAAGATCTCCCCCAGCCCTGCTAGACAGGCCCCAGGGGCGAGGGGTCAGGCTGTAGTAAGGTCTTTGTAGACGGCTAGGGATGAACGATTTCTCTCGTAATCCTCGATAATCTGTGGTGGAGGGTAGACACGAGAGGAAAGCTGTTCTGAGACACGGCCGCTTAAAAAGTGTGACTCCCCCTGCGCCCCCCCCCCCCCCCCCCCCCCCGCCTCCCCTCCCATGCCTGGTTGTTGACGTTCCCTGGAATCTTCAGGTGTTTTGTCTCGAAGTTAAGGCCACTGTCTGTGGTCTGCTGCCCCAGCGAGGGGCTTGTTCCCTGTGCACAGGCCCCTTTGCCAAGAGCGAATCGGCCTCGTGCCCTTGTGCGGTTTCAATTAAATACCTGTTCTGCCACATCACTGAAGAGAAATTAAACCCACCGTGGACTTTGCATCACAGCGCCCTTCATGACAGAACATGGCCCCTTGTCTTTGAGATACACCCTTCCCTCCATATTTATTTTCCTCTCACCTCAGTCTTCTCTGAAATTCTCACAGCCCAGTTAGTGTTCGTGGAAACCTTCCGTGGAGTCTCTCCCTAAAACGTTTTAGTTGAGTTTTGTCTTGTCAGCCACCTTGTTCAACGAGCCCCACCCCTTACCCAGAATGAGGTTCCCCTGAAATTAGTTGTTAGACACTCATGAGGCTTTTTTTTTCCCCCACTGTATTTCAAATTCCACTGTGAACTTCTGGAACTTACTCCTATAACGGTTTGGGGTGAATGAATTGTGGCCGTGGAAGCCCAGAAACAATTGTGGAGATGTTCTAGCTCACGGTCTGAGGTGCCGCGGACCGACGTATTTTGCTGTGCTGTACTGAATAGTAACCCAAACACAGTGGTTTAGGCCTGTGTGCAAAATTGTGTTGCAGGAGGCCGGGCAAAGAGATGGGCCAGAAGCAGAGCCGGCGGGCTGCTCGAGAGGACCCTCCCAGGAAACACAAAGGAAACGGCAGAGAACAACTTGACATATCGCTGGTCCTGTTGGCAGTCCATTTTAGAACGGGTTCAAGTTCTTACGTAATTGATTTCAAATAAAAGCGTAAGCCGTGTGACTCGTGTTAATGATTCTGTGACGGAGGGGAAGTCGAATGTATATATTTATGAGAAGAAATTGTCCAGCAGGTTTTAGGTTTGAGGGAATAGAATGTCCACAGAAACTAGGCCAAAAAAAAAAAAAAAA